GTTTTTACACAATAAGATTTCATATAATAAAAAATTCGATAGCTTTGCAAAAAAATTATTATATTGTACAAATTTTTTTCAAAAAGTATTTTAAAGCTTAAGAAACCTACTTTCAGATACTTTCATATTAAATTTTTAGTTGCTGATGTTTCATTGAACTTATAACGTTTTAAAGTGAGACAAAAATATTGCAGATATCACTTTTCAATTTTATGTAACTTAGGAACAAAATATTGTAGACAAAAGATTCGAACGCAGATTTAAAGCTCTATCTTTATACTTTAAAATGCATGGTCTCTTTGAGATTTTTTTCGTCATTTATTTAATTTTTCATAAAATGCGAGAAAATTGTAAATGCCTAATACTTTTGCACATGACTGTATATTGGAAATATACGTTTAATTTTTATTTTGTTATATTGTTTTAATTTATATATTTATATGTATATATTAATATATTGTATATTATATATCTTACTTAATACTGACTAATTTTCAGTCGAAACAGTTATTTTAATCGGCAATGAATAAGAAATTACAAATGAGCAAGGATAAATAAGTTATTCCATATATGTCTTACAGAATTTTTGCTTTGCATTTTCAAATCTTTTAGTCAAATAAATTGTCAATACATTTTATACACTAGAGAATATCGACAATAAAATGTCAAATTTAGAAAATTTCAAGATATGTAAAAGTAATTTCAAAGTTTTTAATATCGACTAAATTAAAGTAAAGAGTTTATTAGCGAGACACATTGTTATCTCATTTCTCAGATTCAGACAATCAGTTGATACATCGGCTGATTGAGAAAGGTTTAATACCCGGCGGCGCCACATCAACCAAAAATAATTAAAAGAAACGAAGGCTCTCTCTTGAATGTTCCCCTGAGATATTTTTTCCGTGTCTTTCTTTCAGGTATAAATATCAATCTACCTATGGGTACATTATAAATTAATGTAAGTATTTTTATATAAAATTATTTATAGAAGTGACATAAAATTTTATTCTATAGAGAGACAACATATACGGCGGTGGATTGCGGAGATGTGCAAAATATATGAAAGGTATTATCAATAAAATGTATTAAATAGAGAAATAGACTTTTTATTATGTGCTCTTCTCGACAACTTAGAAGTGTTGCTCTTGAATATCTTTTACATTCTAGTAATATATATGACAATTTTCTTTTTCTGACTCTGTAAGATAATCTTGTAGCAAATTTAGCAAATCTTAAGATGTGTAGGATATTCATTAACAAGTGATATTCGGATTTGTACTTGTGATATTTTTTAACATTCAACAACCGTGACAAGTAAAAAATATTAACAATAGTCGCTATTAAAAATTACAAACCGAGAATAATATATTATTTCGGTTTGAAAACAAATCTTTTGAAACTTTAAAGCTAGCACTTACTGTTTTTTATTTAAAAAATATTTTCTCTCTTTTAATAATGTAGAATCACTTTCACTTAATATTTTCATAAAATGAAATTACTTTTCGAATTCTATTTAAAATCTTAAATTAGTAGATATATACATTACATAATTAATGGACTTGAAAAAAATACGAATTCGACGTTTAATGTACATAATTTAACATACATAGTATTGTGTAACAATGAATTATTATTTTTGTTTGTATAATTATTATAACTAAACAAATAGACCCAATTTACTTCTTTCGAAAAAACATTTTTGTTTGTGTAATTATTATAACTTAAACAAATAGAAATTTATACAAATTTATACTTCTTTCGAAAAAACATTTTTTATTATCAATATCAAAACAGCAATTTAAGTATTTAGAACATCTTAAAATATTTTTCAGAATTTTTTCAGATTTTAAAATAAAATATCTTTTATATATACAGATTTCTTAACATATGGAATCTACTTCGGCAGCGGATAGGAGACACTTTAATAATGACAAAAGTTTATATAGACATTGTAATTTATTTATATGAAATTATTTCAGAGTTACAGTCATTTTTGTTTTCCAGTAATACGTAGCTTATTTTCATGGGTTTGAAAAAAAATGATTAACTTTGATTTACTTTTATTAAGTAACGCTCGACATTTTCTTGATATTTCCTCGATATTTTCTTGATATCAAAAATTTTATTCATTACGTTTATTCAGTTATTTTAGTTTGTTCTTTTGCTAAGAATATTTAATTCAATTTGCTATGCGTTAAAAGTAATAATAAGTATTCAATTCAGGAAATAGCAGACATACGTTTGATGTATGAACGTGCCAAATGTAATTGAAAGTATCCCGTTTGATTACGGATTTTAATTACTCTCACCAATCTCGTTAAGTTAACCGACGGTTACATGAGATTCGTTTAAGATCCAATTTCACAACTCATAATTAAGTCTTAACCGAGGTTCAACTTATTCATTGTCTCTCTTTAATTCAAGAATATAATAGATAAGAAACAAGTTGAATCTTTGTTAAGAGTTAACCATGAGTTGTGGAAGTGGACTTAAATGAGCCCCATGTAACCGTCAATTAACTGAGGTTGGTGAAATAGACTCGTTGCGATTGACCATAATCACTTACAGCGATCAATGCCTAGGGACTTTCCACTGTTCAAGCAATGTGAGTGATTGGTCAATTGCAACGTAGTCAAACGGGTGCCAATCAATGTAAGCCGAAGTAAGATGTCTACCTACACAGATTATTTCCCGAATAGATATATATCAGATAAGAAAACATTTCAATTGCATCATAAAGAATAAAAACCAGGAGACCGAACTGGGCTTTTAAAAAATATATGTAAAACCAGATTTCCGAATTAGTATTGATGGTGCTCAATAGGTAGCGTTCGAATCGCAAAACTTTTACGCACACATAAAACTCATACGCTTATGCATATACAATCGAACACACAACCAAAGAGTAGAACATTATTTTTTTAACATGTTTTGACTAGTTTTGAAAAATCATTCGCCCGCAGCGAACACATCTCGGATCGGATATCTTTTTCTTGTATATTTTTGAAAGTGTTGCTGACTTTAAGCATTGAAATTATAGCCGTCCCGTGGTTTTGAATGATCCGTTCGTCCTAATGCGCGTCCGTGTGACGACATCGACGCAGACGCCCGGTGTTCAGCGGGCTTCGCCATTTTTGTGGGCATTACATCATTTTTTTTTTTAGTTTTTGTATCTCGTAAGACATCTGATCTAGTCATATCGGCCTTCGTTCACTATTTTAGGAGCCATTAAAGAAAATCATACTTTGACAATAAACAATGGATACTTTCCATTTGATGACACAAGTCGATACAAGTGTCGTTCTACCTTTATCACTCTGATTGTCGAGAAGAATAGAACGATGCTTGTATCGACTTGTGTCATCAAATGAAAAGCACAGGGAATAACGAGCCAATTAAAGTTCCGGGATATAAATTCGATACAACCTACTAATATAAATCACTACAAGGACGCAAGGAACAAAAAACGGCACATATAAGAATAATTTTTTGACACATTAGAATTTCATTGCTTGTTGCCTGATCTGTTTTGAGATTACATGTTTATTCGCGAAGTTTGGAATAAATTGAGCATTAAGAAAAATTAATTCAAATTGGCAAAATAGTTACGAAAAATATTACAAATAACAATCCAATTTATATCTCATAATTGTTGACACATGTCTGTACGGCAATTGCGATATAAAAGATAAGAAAAATATTAATTGCATAAATTAAGTCAAAAAGAACGTATAGATTTTCAAAATTCATCAATTAAGCATACCATTCTTTCAGAAATAAGATATTTTTTGATTTTTTGAATATTTTATTTAAATAAAGAAGCTAAAGGAGAGTACAAATTTTTGCGATCGTTTAGGAATCGTTTAATTTTTACATTAGGTGCATTCAAGTTGACAAAGCGGCTAGCCTGCTCACCGAGCAAATAAATATAATTGTTGCTTATAGACCCAACTAATAATATACAATCGCTCGGTAAGCATGCCTGCCACTTTGCCATCTTGAATTTTCCCATTGTCTTATGCATTTTTCTTCATGGATACCGAAAATTATCATAATAATAACACTCAAGCAAAAATTAATACAACGATATAAAATTAATAAAATTATCCTTGCATTGATCGTTATGAGGGACGGGGGAGGGAAGGAAATAATTAGTTTTTTAAATTATTAAAGCATAATTGACAGCGATTTTATAATTTTATTAATTTCATTTAACGTTTGAATCTCTGAACGATCGCAAAAATTTGTCTTCTTTAGTTCTAGTTCTTCTAAATAAAATATTCTAAATAAAATACGATAAATACTAAAGACAGCGGACCACCTCTGATGATCTTGACATATATTGTCAAAGTTATGGCCCTGAATGAGTCTAGGAAGATTTTAGTCCGCACTCATTATTCATTGAAAAGTTATTAACAAAATATGTTTTTTATAAATAGAACACAAAATTTACCCCATCCTCCCTGCTTACAGAAATTAATAACTTTCCACGCAAACCGAAGTTCATCTCACAATCAGATAAAGATTGAGTAGGTCAGGATAAATCGGGATGAGGATGTAGGGAAAGGAGCGGAGCCCTGGAAGAAAGATTGAGAAGTTCTTTGACACAATTGCATGCTTTGCAAATCAAAGATGGTTATTTCGAATATTCCTATAAAGATAAGCAATTATACATTACTGGAGAAAAAATATGACGAATGAAATAATTCTGAAACAAAATCAAAAGGATACATGTCTATAGGACCTTTTTTCATTATGTAAGTATTTCCCATTCAAAGTGCATTTCATATGTTAGGAAACATTTTGTATAGCAGTTTACGTAAGATTTTTTTAATATAAAGAAAATATTAAATCATACAAAATACTAAATCATACAAAAAAATAGCAATTATAAAAAAATATCAAATAATAATTGAAAACCGATTTCCTCTAGTGAATCAACAGTTTAAAAAATGGTTAAATCGAAACATGTTTCTCTCGCGTTGAAATGCGAATCTCTTTTTTTTTTTTAAAGCTAACATAAAGCAAGAAAAATTATTTCTTTTTGTGTTCTTCCGTTTGTTGTTTAAGAGAGCGAGTTTTTAGGATTCGTAAGACGAGATAGGCTACAAGCCCTAAGATATGTCCGGAGAAATATAAACTTTTGTAAAAATGTATTATTTCTTGGAAGCGCAGTAATTGGAAGGGCACGCCAAGATATGCCATGCATGTAAGTTTCGCCCACCAGAGGAAGACTCTCCAAGCCTTCTTGCCCTGCATTTCATTGTAAGAAAATATTATAAATAACGTGAATTAATATATTGGCAATATATGAGAACATCGGTTTAGAAAAATTTTGTTTTATTTAAAAAAAAAAATATATATATATATATATCTTTAATCTCACACGGTCTCAAGATCTAATCTCATTAATCTCAAGATATTTATAAGTTTAATCTAAACTTAATAAGTATGCATGATTAAGCTTGATAAATATGACTTATATAACTCAATTTATATATTACATTTTTTCGTAGAAAATTTTTAAATTTCGAGATAAACAAAATTCTTCAAATAATGATTCACAAAGAAAGGATATCTTTCTAAGACGATATTCTCTGATATAATATATTCTGGATATTTCTTCATCACAGAACGTGTTTACTAATTAAAGAAATAAAAATTATAAAGACTTTTATATATCAAATAAAAAATATAAAGTAATAATATGATTTAAAAAGAATCAAAACAAGCTTTTCATGATATTAAAGTATATTTAATTAAAGCTTAATTAAATGGAAGAATCCGTTTTGACTCATAGCCATATTATAACTATATATATTTTTATTTGTTTATTAATAATCAATAAGACACGTGAAGATATGTGAAGATATGTGAAGACACTATAACGCTAGCTAATTTGTGATGAGAATTAATAAAACATGAAAACATCTATAACTATAACTCGAAAATAAGATCAGATAAAATAAATGTTTATATGAATGTTTTCTTTTTGTGTTATTTTTGCATCTCGAATTCATTTTTGAAGTTATGCCCACATGTTATGAAATATTCTATTCCAATTATTACACTAATATATACTAATATAAGGAATAAAAATAATTACTGTAACTGCCGTTATTTACATCTTAATTATCTTGTTCTAATACTGATTTAATAGTGATGTTGTGAATTTTTTTATTATGTTGACAGATGTAACAGAATTGGAACAGTCATAATTATTTGTAATTATTACGGATTGGAAAAGTCATTCGTTGCTTATTAGTTTTTAATGTAATTTGTAATGGAGTAACTTTGCGGTGTTACTCGTTACTTATTATTTTTCTCAATGAATAACACGTAATGGTATTTTTTTTTCAAAGGTAATTTACTTTTCAAAGTGACTTTTTTAATGTAATCTTAACATTAATTATCATTACAATTATAAAAAATTGCAACATCATTATTAAATTGATATTATAAAAAGTAACCATAAAGTAACGGAAAAGAAACTTTTCCATTCTCTGCTAATATAATAATCAAAACAATTATAAATTGAAGAAATGCGATTAAAATGTGCGAGTATTATAAAGCAGAATTTTTTATCTTTATGTTTCATTTTTTCATTACAATACTTTTTTTGTATGATATTTTACTTTTTTTATAAGTAAATCCTTCCTGAATTTTAATTTTGGAAAATTTAATTTTTTTGCAACTTTGCTTATAACTTTTGGAAAAATTATTTTTTTTAATTTAACGATCAATTAACATTCCATTTTTATTTTTTGTCATTAATAAAAAAATTAATCATTTCCGCTTAAGAAATCCATTTTATCCTATCTTTTTCTATTAGTAGACAATATCAAAATAGATTTTACATATCATTAAATCTCTATATCATTAAATTTACGTATAAACGACTTACAAATTCATTTTCTTCGTATTGATTATAAAATTTAATACAGATGTCCTCGAAAGGTAGATAGAACGGGACTTGACAGATGCAAAAGTAGTAGCCGGCAGCATAACCATGCCATAGAGCAGATAAAGTCATTGTAGCGATGGTTCTTAAACCTTTATGAGGGAATCTTTTGTAAACGCACATAGCCATCCAATATTGTACGCATGTATTCCACATTTTCATCGTGTGCCTGACAAACGGAGAGGATTCCACTTCCCACACATTCATGTTATGCACCGTTTCGAAATCCTGTTTCTCTTTTTCCATTCTCTCGTGATCAAGCGATCTGAAAAAATTATTATATTAACAGATTGCTTGCTTATGAACTTCCCATATTCTCTGATTATAGATACAAGGAATGCTATTAGGGAAAAATACGCAGAGATGCAATTTACTCCTTTGCAGGGATTATTTTTTGGTGCCCCAGAATAATCATGCAAAAGCTGATCAAAATCCGTGAAATACATATGTGATCTCTTCTTGTTAACTGAGAAACGGGATAATAATACGGCGTATAAATGTAATCATGTAAATCATTGGCTAATAGAAAAGCGGCTTGCTGAATATAAATATCTCAAAATGGAATAACGAAATCGTACAATTTTTCGATCATTTTGTAATCGCGTGGGCCTAGACCAGGTACGGATTGACAGCAGACCGGGTAAGCTCCTAATCCTGACATTTGGCAAACACATTCGGCCAACGCCATACCGATAAACATTCTCAGTCGAAAACCAGCGAATGCCGGATACATATAGAAAAATCTATAGAGGAAACAGTGCTCTTCGAACATTACTGTTTGCGTGTACTGAAATCGAAAAGGATGAATCATTAAAATTATTGTAATGATTATGCTGTCACCACATTTGCAATCAGAAAACGTAATTAGAAATTCAATTTCAGATTGAAAATTAGTATGAATGGGTATCTTATTGCACAATAGTATTTCATAGACGAATCAATATTTCATAAGTTGTATATACAACATATTTTAAAAAACTTTTGATTAACAAATATATTGACAAGGGACATTACACTGTCCGTAATCGATTTGATTCACCTTGAAGTATGTTGATAAATATAATTAAAAAATCTAAGAATATTTTTTTATACTGGTAGAATCTCATATGTTTAGGAAATATCCCTTCGAAAAAAAAAAAATGATACTTTTCTTTCAAGGCAAATATCGTCGAAAGTATAAAAGATAGAAAAAAAATTTTCAAATAAAAGTTGTATGGTTTCAAGAGTACTTTTTTTACTCCATATAAAAATGAATTCTCCATTGAACAAAAAATAATAAATAAATTATACGAAAAGATGTAAAATCAGTCACAGAATAAAATTAAAGATGTATAACTATCATGTAACAACTGTATCAGATGTAAACTTATAAGGATCCTCGTCCTTAATTTTCGAAAAACAATGTAGTTTATAAAATTAAGTGCAATAATTGTGATGCATCATATATAGGACAGATGAGGAGATAGCTAAAAACACAAATCTTATATATCGAAATTATATATTTTGGAACACGTCTTCTCGTTCTGTATAATCAAGCATAGAACTAGAATATAGAACTAGAATATATTTTGATTGGAATAGTATTGAAATCTTTGATGAAGAATCATGTTATAATAAGCGGTTAGTTTCGGAGATGCTACATATTAAAAAACAAAAAAATAGTCTTAATCTTCAAACTAATAGGATAGAATACTGAGGATTTACATAAAGTCTATATTCCGATTGTAAACAAGGTCTGACTTTGCATTGCCAAGATCACACTCGTTCGATTATTTTTTGTCTAGTCAGTATTGTAACAGTTGACATCTTTAATTTTATTCTGTGACTAATTTTACATCTTTTCATATAATTTATTATTTTTTATTCATTGGAGAATTCATTTTTATATGGAATATGACTTTGTTGCTCTTATTTATTGGACTACGTATAATTACTTATAATTACACTAAGTAATTTTGACGAGTATCGTAATAATAAAATGTAATAACTTTTCTGAAAAATTGGTGAGTGTTTATCGAGGTGACATGTTTGCTTTCTTTAGAACTTAATATAATTAATAAAATTTACAATGTTAGAACATTACAAAATTCTTTTCAATTGATCTTCTAATCTTTTGGCGAGCAATTTCTGTTCCTCTGTTCAACTTTCATCCAGTCTTTCGATTTACATATACATTGAATTCCATGACTATTAATACTGTTTTATTGTAACAACTTTGCGTTTATTATATCTGAAGAAAGCCTAGAAGTCGAAACATGTTATAAATCAATTAGAATATATTTATGTTTATTTTGTAAGTTTTTCAACATAAAATTTATATACTTTAGACTCTTAACATGCCTTATATTGTTTTTATTATTTACTAATTAAGAATCATTTTGAATTTTTTATTTCGAACAAGCAGAATCTCCCCGCTCCAACTATGGAAGCCATGTGCAAACGTTTTTTTTACATAAAAATTTCTACAAATTGTTTAAATATTAATAAGTGTATAGAAAAAAAATTGATATCAATAACTTTTATGGATTCTTCGTAAATAAATTCTAGAAAAAACCGCCTATTACACTAGAATACCTCCTTAAAGATTTTATTCCCTTATTTATTGTATGATCAATTTTTATCTTAAACATTTTTGTTGCGATGCATACTTCCAGGGATAATAAATACTTTAAATGTCTTATCTTGTATTTTACAAACTCAGTGCAATAGCACATATTGTATAACAATAATATTAATTGTCTAGGAGCTACTGTCAATAATAATGCAATAAGATTAAAATTATCCCATTCTATCGCAAAGTTTATGTTTGGCTCTTTGTAATGTAATGTGAACATTACGTCGCTGGGAAAGAGATAGTTTATCACTAGAAACAACGCGATGAACGCCGTGATCTGTTTGAGCTTGTAATAGGTGAGTGGCCACGGATCAACATAGTTGGAAAACGGTCTATGCAAAGAGTCCCAGTACGTCCTGTAACGGTAATACGGACCTGCAAAAATAAATTAATATAATTTGTATTTGAATTTTTGCATATTTATTATAATTTTGTGTCTATAGTTATTTGTTTTTATCTTACCTGTTAGTACACCCATATAACCAAAGCTATAATGTATCACATCCATGAAATTAATTTTCTTGAGCGCATCGGAATTTGCTCCTTGAACATCATCGGCTGGCGCAGTTGCTGCCGAGTTGATTTCAAATGCTAGCCCGGATAGCTTTAAGGTGAGAATCATTACAACGAGATTCGTGTGAGTTGGTGGACTCGGTAAACCAAAATAGTCACCCAATCGAAAGATTACCAGTAAGTAGAAAAAGGAGAAATATAGGCTGATCAAGTGACATTTTCTGCAAGATCAAAGTCTATCGAATCACTCCTGTGACGGATACAATTATATGGTACTCCGGATTCGGGAAAACCTGGATTTCTTGTTTCTTACATTTTTTATTAATATATTTATTAATATATTTTTTATTAGTCTATAGATTAATTCCTCAAAAATTTTTTTATTATATAAATATACATAAAATTTTAGTAAGTGTATCGTTGAGAATATTAGCCATGATTTTCCTTTATTGGATTACCATTACTTAGCTACGCTAAATGTTGAATATTTCATTTTGAGTATGCTCTACCGATTTGCAGAATTCCACTTAAATATGTATTTTATTTATAATTATTTTGAATATGAGTGAGAGAGAGAGAGAGAGAGAGAGAGAGAGAGAGAGAGAGAGAGATATGTTGAATAGTATGCATTATTATATGTAATTGATTGGACTATTTCATTCGCTGCAGTGCCATGTTTTAAGCAAATATAAGTTGAAAACTCTCAAGTCAATCATCAGACTGAATAATGGAATTTTAGTGCGCTTATCAAATTTATCATTTGTATTAAGTAAAATTTAGAATGTACATCGAAAACTAAAGGCTTAATAAATAATAGCTTTAAAGAAATATTGTTTTTATCATTGTTTTTTTTTTAGAAATTTTATAATATAAAACATTCACCTGATATCGATTTTAGACTATTAGTCATGTATGCTATATCTTATGATATATCTGATGATATATCTTAAATGAAATTTAATTTTTTTTATGTATTTTCGTATGTACTCTATATTAAAAAACAATAATTTATGATGATGATATTTTATATTTTATTTTGCAACATATTTTGACATAAAATATAACATTTTATAAAATATTTATTTCAATAAACTCAATTCTTGTTTTAATCTTTTCCTGCTCAATTGAATATAATGTCCGATCATGATTTTAAAAAAATCATATTTTTGAAAAATTTTGAAAAGTTACAAAAAGGATTCCAAACTGAAGACCAAACTCTAGAACAGCGTCATTGTTTTACTGATAAAATGCAATTTATACACCTTGTAAAATTTACGAACCTCAACATATCCTTGCATATTACTATAGTAGTAGACAGTATCACATATATATATATA